CAGGGTCTTACTATGTAGCCAGGCTGGTCTCAAACTCATAATCCTCCTGCTTCAACCTCTTGGGCACTGGGACTATAGGTGTATACCATCATACCCAGCTAGAAGTCCAATTGGTTATGATGCATAACTCTCTTTACAAATTGTTGGATTTCACCTGATGATAATATTTTGTTGACAATTAACTTGTTTTGAATTGATTATATTTTTCTTACATTTTGACAGTGAGTAATGGGTAATGTATGCAAATACTGTTAGTTAACCATTGTATGCAGAAGGTTTCTATGAGTACTCATCTATATAATCTTGATATGCATGATTTATAATTTAGAAAAGTGTTCAAGTCATGCTATAGGAAAGCGAAGTGTAAAATGTGTCATTTTAGCTAGCAAAACTTGCTGAAATAAGCTTTCAAACCCCTAAATGGACTCATTCTGTATCTTTATTTCATCTAGAGTGTTTGGAGCAAAATTATATGTTAGAGTGGCATATCTCATTTAATTTCTGGTCTTCTCAGGGTCTGGTTTCAGCATGGAGGCTTGTTAGTATACACACATCACCACCTATTAACACATATACACACCGCCACTGCCGCCACTACCAATTCAAAACAAAAAATAATTGAAAATAATTAAGTATTTGGTAGAATATCAACTGGGATTCAATTTAAATGAAATCTTTACCTTCTGCAGGTTTTCCTTCTCTGTCTCTTAGAGGAAGCTACATTTAAAGACCTTGTCTCTTTTTCCATCCCCTGGTCTTACATATTCATTTAGCAGAGAAGTTGAATATTTGTAGCCTACCGGCCAAATCTTACCTGTGCATATATTTGATTTGATACAAAGTAAGTTTGATTAAATTTTAATGTTTGTAGGTTAGCAAATGATAAACATCTGTGTTTCTGAATTCTCCAGATAAGGACTTGAAACACCGGCAGACCACTGCCTTCATCTCTTAGCTGCCTCACAACAAAGAGTGACTTCCTCTTTCAACTGTGGCACATCCCTTCAGTCCACCCAGTCTTTACCACTTCCTGCTGTGTTAGAAATAGCCAGTTTTCCTACTGATAATGACACATGGCTTCTGTCGGTATCTGGGTTCATGTTCTCACTGGTGGCCTTATGAGTCGTTCTCAGACTCCTTCTAAAAGTTTAAACTTTCTTCTATTATATTGAGTGGCAGAAAAAAAACGTTCTGGGGACTCACTAGTAAACCTTTTGAGAACTGAGAAGTGGCCAGACATGGGCTGTAGCAGTTTGCACAACACAAACAACAAAATGCCCACAAGTAGTTAGGAAAAGGGAAAACTCACTCAACTGGGTATAGCAACTTGGTCCTTTGAAGACCTCTTATTGGGACTAAAAGTCCAGTTCTGAGAGAGTTCTGAGAGGCAAGAATGTAGAGTCCACTTAGATGGATGGTTGTAGGAAAAGTCAGAAGGTAGCATCCCTGATTTTGTGGAAGAAGACAGAGGAAATGAGAGAAGACAGCACAGTAATAACAGGGAGACACACAGAAGGGAGCTTTAAGTCTGTGACATAGCACATAAGCAACATCCATACCTGTAAGAACGGACTGAGGGAGAGCTGCTGCCTTCCCAGGAAATGCCTCCTGCAGGTTGTGCAAATGTGCGTGACCGTGCAGCTGGAGTGCTGCTCACTTCAGCTCCTGTCTTTGCTCTCCGGCTCTTCTTTTGTATTTCCCAAAGGTCTCAATTATCTTAGAGATACAGAGTCTTGTTCCCTTCGACACATGACAATTTCATTCATCGGTCAACCTGGAAAACCAAACCGTAAGAATCAAAAGCTCCATTAGCAAGGCATGTCCATCTGTGAACTTGCATCTTAACAGTCCTCTGCCTAGTGAGAGCAACGTGGGATTTGCAGAACTACAGTGAAGACTGGCTTCCTTGGTGGGATTACATCATTATTGTACAATTAACCTCTATTTCTTCTTAACTAGCTATTTTTAGAAAGCTATCGATCTACTTTGTAATAGGAATTGAATAATTTTTGTCTTGGTTTCTATCTTTGTTACTTTTCTATTGCTGTGATTTAGAAAAAAAAATATGACCAACGCAACTTATAAAAGGAAATTAATTTTAATTTGGAGCTCGTGGTTCCAGAGGGTTAGAGTCCATGACCATCATGGTGGGGAGCACGGCAGCAGGCAATGTGTGGTGATATTTTATTTGTGCTGAAATGTGATGATATTTTATTTGTGTGTTAATAAAGTTTGCCTGGAGATGAGAAGTCATAGCCAGCCATAAACAGAAGTCAGGCGGTGGTGGCACATGACCTTAATCTGATCACATGGCAGGCAGAGTCTATGTGTTCAAGTGCTGTGGGATGGTCTGTATGTCAAATTGCTCTGATGGGTCAATAAATAAAACACTGATTGACCAGTGGCTAGGCAGGAAGTACAGGTGGGACTAACAGAGAGGAAAAAAGAAAGAACAGGAAGGGGGAAAGAGTCACTGCCAGCCGTCACCATGACTAGCAGCATGTGAAGATGCCGGTAAGCCATGAGTCACGTGGCAAGGTATAGATTTATAGAAATGGATTAATTTAAGCTATAAGAACAGTTAGCAAGAAGCCTGCCAAGGCCATACAGTTTGTAAGCAATATAAGTCTCTGTGTTTACTTGGTTGGGTCTGAGCGGCTGTGGGACTGATGGTAGACAGAGATTTGTCCTGACTGTGGACAAGGCAGAAAAACTCTAGCTACATTCAAGGACACAGCCAAGTGTGGTGACATACACCTTTAATCCCAGTACCAACCATAGAGACCTGGAGGTCTGTATATACAGGCAGTGACGAGGAAGTGAGGTAGCTGGGCTAAGAGCCAATGAGAAGGCAGAACAGCAAGGCAATAAAGGCACAGGGTAGACAGGAAAAAGCTGGTTCTCTTGGGAAGCTACAGTGACATGGTAAGCTAAGGTTAGTTGGTGGCTATCACACTGATTTCTACAGCTTTCACGTCTGTATTTGGCTCTGTGTTTCTTATTTAATAAGACTGTTTAGAAATTCGTCTACACTAGTGTTGTAGCCGAGAACTAATATCTTGATCCATAAGGAAGGAGCAGAGAACAAACTGAGAATGGTGTGGGTTTCTGAAACCTCACCCCACCCCCAGTGACACACCTCCTCCAAGTCCACACATCATAATCCTTCCCAAACAGTTCTACCAAATAGAGACTACGTGTTCAAATAGGAGTCTATGAGGGTCATTCTCACTGAGAACACCTCAGTTACATTTATGTCAGATGGAATCCAATAGTTTATATCAAAGTAGATTGGCAAATTATACCTGTCTGAAGCCACTAAGAAAATGGTGGCTAGTGAAATTCACTAAGGCAATCCTATTTTATTATTTGCTAACGTGTTCTGACTACAAACACAAGAATTTGTAAAGGGTAGAATAGGGCTGGGAGGTGACTTAGTTGGCATGGTGCCCCACTTCTTTCCCCAAAGTGTGAGGACCTGAGTTAGATCTCCATCACCCACAAAATGCAGAGAACCCCACAGCCCACGTGTGCAGTCCCAGAGCTGGAAAGGCAGGCGGGCCAATCCTCGGGGCTCCTTGGCTAGCCCAGTGCAGCCTACCTACTCCAAGAGCTCCAGCTTCCCTGAGATGCCGTCAAACAGTAAGTCACTAAACAAAAACACTAACAAGATGGAGGGGGGGGGGGGGGAAATGTACTGTCGACACAAGAAGCTGCTCTCACCTCCAAGGAGAACTGAATACAAGTGAGCTGAAATTTTACAATACCAAGACAGAAAATCTTCTATAAACAAAGACATTTCAAATACATTGGTGGAAACATCAGGTGGAAGATCTCTGCTACAGACCCCAGATGTGACCTGATAAAATTCTTAGCTTCTGGGCTGGGGGAAGCTAGTGCCCTGCTAAGTTAATACATTCCAAAGGTTTCATCTGATATTCACCAGGATGCTGGCCATTCAGGCACACAGGTGGGCTAGGAAAGGCTATTAATTAAAGGGGCTAAAGGCAGCTCAAGATTATAATTTATATTATATTATAAATTATAATTTGGCTCTGGGCTTTCAACCAATGATAATTTCTCCCCAGTCACTCAAGTTCTAATCAGTTAATCACTCTTGCAGAAACTTCAATTTAAGTTTCGACTTCTTTCCAGGAATCGCACTTGCCACACCAGAAGTCCACAGCGGCAAACAAACACATGTGCGTGTCTGCAGTGTGTACGCACACACAGTGATAAAATAACAGACTCGTTTTCCCCATCTTTAGCATAAATTTGGCCCAGTCCTATTCCTACATAATTATAAATAAGAAGTTTTTTTTTTTTTTTTTTTTTTTTTTAGTTTTTCGAGACAGGGTTTCTCTGTGTAGCTTTGCGCCTTTCCTGGAACTCACTCTGTAGACCAGGCTGACCTCGAACTCACAGAGATCCACCTGCCTCTGCCTCCCGAGTGCTGGGATTAAAGGCGTGTGCCACCACCGCCCGGGCTTTCTATACTTTTCAAACTGGTTTCAAAATCCTAAACAGAAAATCCTACTGGCTGTAAACACTCACTACAGTAAATGTGAGAAAAAAGTAGGGCGTTCCTCTCCCTCCACCAACTAGAAATGCAGAAGCCTTGATGTGGAACCACAGATCCCCTGCTTGGGAACTTCAGGATGAAGGAGATTCCCTTCACTCACCAGCTAAACCTCACCGTGAGGAAGATGAACCTACCACCACCACTTTCAAACAGGAGTCGCTTGCACAGCGACCCTGAGCGGCGGCTACTGCGCATGAGCCCAAACTGCCGCCGGCTCCAGACTCGAAGCTCTGCAGATCTCGGTTCGAACTTCCCGGCCAGGACCGAGTCCGCGAACCGCAAACGTCCTTCCGCGGGCCACGCCCCCGCGCTCACCCCTCCCTCCCGACGCACGCGGCGCGCTGACGTCAGCGGCGAGCCGGGGGCCGTTGGGGCTGCGGAGGCCCCGCCCTCGCCGCCCGGGTGCGCGGCCCTGGCGGCTCGACCTCCCCCCCCCCCCCCGCTCCCCACCGATGAGGGTGTTCGGGCGGCCGCGGTCCCCGGCACTGGTGCTGCTGCTCCTGCGGCCGCTGCTCGCTTCCGGAGACCCCGCGTCCGGCCCGCAGGCCCGAGCCATGAACCCGGGCGGCGGCGGCGGCGGCGGCGGCGGTGCGCGGGGCTCGCCGGCGGACGGCCACCGCTTGCAGCGCTCCACCGTGCCAGGCTCCGACCCGCAGCGCTGCAACGAACTGCTCCTGCTGGCGGCCGGGGACGGGGAGGAAGCCGCCCCGGAGCAGCCGCGGCACCACGTCCTCTACTTCCCCGGGGATGTGCAGGTAACGCGGGCCCGGCCTCCCCGACACGCCCACGCGGGTTCTCCCCCGGGGTAGGGGGTGGGGAGGGGCTGGGAAGGACCGCGGTCTCCCAGGGCAACTGTCAATCCAGGTGCCGCGGGGTGCGAGGAGAGGCGCGACCCGGGATGGGTCCACAGCTCCAGCCTTGTCTCAGACGAGAGTGTGTGTGTGTGTGTGTGTGTGTGTGTGTGTGTGTGTGTGTGTGTGTGTGTGTGTGTGTGTGTGCTGGGCACAGGACAGTGTTGAGAAAACGCTGACTGACTAAAACACACCCATTGCTAAAGTGTTGACCTTTCCCGTAACCCTCAAACACGGTAGTGGAAGAATGTGATTGCCACCAGTGCTCGTGACGGTGAGGACCGTTTGAGTTCAGCACATCTGTGTACTCGTGTTGCCGGTTTTACAGCTGCGGACAGACGACGTACTGCATTGTGTAATGACTACATTAGCCACGTGAGGGTATCTGAATTGGTGAAAATGAAGAGTCAGGGTTCTCGGTCTCACTAGTTGTATCTCCCAAGTGTTGAGTCACCACAGAGGACTTGTGTGTACCACGTTGGACAGCATTCCATAGGAAATCAGCCATCCCAGTGAGTTCTGTTAGCGCTAGGGTAGCCATGCAAGTTAGGATATAGCTAGGTGTTTTCCTCAGGCTAGGAAACTATGATTGTTTTGAACTTGGTACTTGAAATTAAAGATCACAGTGGTACTCAGAATCTTCTCTTGCTCTCAAACCAATCAGTTGACTAGTTGACCGCTAAAGGAAACTGGAGAAAAAAAAAAAACAAACTCGGATTTAGATTTAAGAAAATCTACCTAGTCGGTGCCTTTGTATTCAGAATGGAAAACAAACATGTTGTTTCTGACACTTCCAGAGGTTTGCGACCCGCCACATCATGCATTCCAGCGGTGGTGGTGGTCATGGCGGCTGAGTACTTTCTGGTTAAGTGTGCCAGACAGAACGTCCACCTGTCTTCGGATGGGGCCTAAAGTACTGTATACAGTCTGAATCACCATCATCCGTTCCGTTAGCTCTTTGGACAGCGACGGACTGGTCATTGGTGAGGAGTGTGGAGTTTTACAGAGTCCTGGGCCTTCTGGAAAAGAGATGGAAGGAAGCACACCACAAGGCTGCAAGACCAAACTGCCTAGATTTAACACCCCATCCTGTGCTGTCCAGCTTAAAGTCTGTACAAGATGTTAGAGCTCGCTATTGAAGTACCTCAGTTATAAAATGGGGTAGTAGTAGTTCACAGGGCATCAGTCAAGGTTAAATACTGGAATAACTCAGTGGGTACCACCCCTTCTCACCTTTGGGTACTCTAGTGCTCCGTTCTTGGACTTTTTCTTCTCTCTTCCAGTGACCTCTTTCCATCTTGTGGCTTCACCTATTGCTTATGCCCTGACAGCCCTTGGCGTTTATTTAGTCTAGACATAAGCCGGATGTTTATGGATTCTCCAATTGCATGCCAGTTACTTCCTTTGGATATTTAGTAGCCACCTAAAACTGAACATCTGTTCACTCCTAAGCAGTCTTCCTCATTCAAGTTAATGAAAATACCTACTTAGTCACTCAATCTAGAAATCTGAAGTCATCCTGTAGATCGATGTCGTACCTCATCTCTAATAACACATGAAGTGCCCCCACCCTCGTTGTGTATCTGAAATGAGGAGAACAGTGGTTTAAAAGCATCGGTCTCCTTATACCACCCCTCTCAAAACCCTCCATATGGCTTCTCAGTTCCTCGGTAGTGAGAGCCAGCTCCTCAAGTCCTAGGAGTGCAGACGTCATCAGATCTTGCTTTCCTGAAGGATAAATGTCCATGAGGGTGTGTCTTGATCTTGTTCTCTGGGTCTTGGAGCACTTTCTTAGGCAGTTCCCTTCAGCTGGCCCCTTGCTCACCGCTTAACTGGGCTGTGTACTTGATGTTCTGTAAAGAGGTCCCCTTGGTGCATTCCAGAGAAGTGTAGCTTTTCCTCAGTGCAGCGCTCGTTCTCCTCAGCTGGTTCAGAGGCTAGTCCATCTGCTTCAAATCCTGCAAAGGCATGAGACCTCAAGTGCTGGGAATAAAGGTGTGTGCCACCACTGCCTGGCTCTGTTTCTCTCCCAGACTGAATCAATCTCATGTAGTCCAGGGTGGCTTTGAACTCACAGAGATCCCAATGGATCTCTGCCTCTCAAGTGCTAGGATTAATGGCGTGTGCCACCACTGCCTGGCTTCTACGTTTAATCTAGTGGCTTGTTCTGTTCTCTGATCTTCAGGCAAAGTTTATTAGGGTACACAATATATCCCGTACCATGAATGTTTCTAAACTCTTGCAAACATGAACTTTTCTGAAAAGATTCTCTGGATCCCACTTCAGTGTAATGTGAGACGGACCACCAGGTTTCTGCAGGTCGGCAAGCATCTAACAGGGCTGAGCACTCCTAGGCCTCTGCCTCGGTGGGGATGAGTAGAAGCACGGCCTCTACTCCTTACTTCCTGCAAGCATAGTAAGTGCATTATATCCCCAGTAAGGTGAAAACTCCATTCGGTAGCTTAATTATAGTTAACAGCCTGGTGCAGAATCAGTTTGACTAGGGGGTGTCTGGTCCTCATCTCAGGGTGTGGAAGCTCTTACCCATGGTTCTTGGGTCTGGGCTTTGATGTAGCCATAACAACCCCAGTTCTCATTTTGCTACTCAGTTCCCCAGGGTTAACCTTTTCTCCCTTTTCGATCATGTAACCTGGGGCTAATGGGGGGAAGGATGTTTAAATTAAAGCACTTTCTGTGAGGTCCGGCCTAAATGAGACTCATAAAATCTGCTTCACTTGGGTTCATTAAATAATTAATGTAGTTATTGGATAGTTTCAGGACTTTGGGGCTCACTAGGATAATAAGCTTGCTTATTTATTTATCATTTACTATTATGTATTACTTCTCGATGGATGGACTGATCTTGGATTCTGGATCCTCTTGGGCTCAGCCTCCTAAGTGCTAAGATTACAGGCACGTGCTACCACAGCTAGCTTATAAAAATGAATTAAGTGGGGGAGCGGGCAGGAAAAGCAGCTCAGTGTCATCCTTAGCTACAGAATGAGTTCAAGGCCAGCCTAGACTACATGAGACCTTGTCTCAAAGAAATAAAATAAAAACCAGCCAGCAAGATGGCTTAGTGGGTACAGGGGCTTGTGGTCACACTGGACAACCTGAGTTCAGTCCCCAAGACTCACGTGGTAGAAGAAGAGAACCCTTCCTGCAGGCTGTCCTCTGACCCACACATATGCGGGCGCCCACAAAAAAAATGATGTTTAAAAACAATAACACAAAGTAACAGATAAACCCTTCCAGATCCAAGCTGCTTATGCTGTGACAGTTTTGTATACTAACCCTGGGTGTGCAGAAGGTAATGGCAAAATCCATAAAAAGTCAACCTAAGAGCCTCTCGGAATATATTTAAAACATGCATAACAAGCTACTAATATACACACATAACAAATTATTAATGAAATAAACCTATTAGGGAGTTAAACATTTTAATGAGAAAATTATCTAAGGACACAAACATAGTTAACAAAAATAAAAAATAAAATTGCCAGCAGACAGAAAAATGTTTAACTTAATTTGAAGTCAAATATGCAAATTAAATCAAGAGCATTGCTTAATCTTAGGAATCTTAAAAATTAACCATTAGCATTGAGGCTAAGTAAGAGTGTGGAAAACAGAGCATTCTTGTATATTTCTTTTTCTTTTTTTTTTCATTCTTGTATATTTCTAGTGCAGGTTTTACTGTTATGTCCAGTGGTATTTTACTGATGTCTAAAAACAATTAGGCAAATCTGTATTGATAGTCATGCCTTTTAGCATATTTTTTATTGATTTATTTTTATTTTATGTGCATTGGTGTTTTGCCTGTGTGTATGTTTGTATGAGGGTCTGTTGCTGGAGAGCTTCTCTCCAGGTCCCACCAAGCCCCACAGTCCCACAACCCACGTATAAAATAATCACTCAGACGCTTATATTACTTATAAACTGTATGGCCGTGGCAGGCTTCTTGCTAACTGTTCTTATATCTTAAATTAACCCATTTCTATAAATCTATTACCTTGCCACGTGGCTCGTGGCTTACCTGCATCTTTACATGCTGCTTGTCTTGGTGGTGGCTGGCAGTGTCTCCTCCCACCTTCCTGTTCTCTCAGTTCTCCTCTCTGTTAGTCCCGCCTATACTTCCTGCCTGGCCACTGGCCAGTCAGTGTTTTATTTATTGACCAATCAGAGCAACAGATTTGACATACAGACCATCCCACAGCAAGGGTCCCATGGAACTGGAGTTACATATAGTTGTGAGCTGCCATGTGGGTGCTAGGAATTGAACCCAGGTCCTCTGGAAGAGCAGGCAGTGCTCTTTACCGCTAAGGCATTTCTCCAGCCCCCTTTTAGCATATTTTTAAGGGAAAATTATATCTCAGCTAATGGTTGCTTAGTAGAGAAGGAAAGAATATTTTCTTATATATGTAATTACATATGTGTATGTGTATTAAATAACTCTGAACTGCTAGCCACGTAAATTTTAATTATTTCTAATACTGGTGAACTTAGGATATTTTTCTTTATAACTTTGTACATAAATTTTTGTAGTAGTCTATTTATTATAAAATAGGAAAAATGTACATATCACTCAGTACTCAAACTGTGAAAAGTTTCAAAGTGAAAGTCTCTTACCTTTTTACCTCCAGCCTCCTAGTACTCAGGGAGCTGAGACAGGAGAACAAATATCACCATTAATAAAAATAAAAGTAAAATACATATATATTATATGGTCAAAACAAAAATATGGTTCAGTAGTCGCGGTTGGTGGGCAGCAACTGAGCCAAGATGTTGCGGAATCTGCTGGCCCTCCGTCAGATTGCCCAGAGGACCATCAGCACTACTTCACGAAGGCATTTTGAAAACAAAGTTCCAGAGAAACAAAAGCTGTTTCAGGAGGATAATGGAATCCCAGTGCATCTGAAGGGCGGAGCATCTGATGCCCTCCTCTACAGACTCACAATGGGTCTGACAGTTGGTGGAACAGCGTATGCCATCTATATGTTAGTTATGGCTGCATTTCCCAAGAAGCAGAACTGACTTCATCATCCCAGTCTTCACATGGTTCAGTTTCATTCAGCGCTCAATGGACCAGGAATCTGATGAGTAACTGAGCTCTTCTTTGGGGATCAATATTTATTGATGTGTACTAACTGCCACCAATAAAGCAGTCTTTACCATGAAAAAAAAATATATATATATTATTAATTTATATAGCATGCATCTAAACAAATAAATTCTATGTACAAAGGCAAACAGTATGGATAGACGAGCAAAAATCTAAATAGTAATAAGTAAATGAACAAAATTTCAATGTCATCCTAATTTTAATACATCTAAATTTGAGCTATCCCATGCCTGTGAAATTGAACAAATTAAAAAGAAAACCATGGAAGACAATTTTATAGTCTCTATCACCAGTTTTAAATTGTGATTATTTAGATTTTCTAGTTTTCGCACCTCTAGGAATTTTAGAATGTAGGTACAGATGTGCACTAAGATTTTCTGTGAAGATGCTCCAGCTCTGTAGCAAAAACGTGAAGTCAGGCAGAGCAGTCAGGTTGCTAGCAGAATCCACATGCCTGTGTAGATTTCATTACAGATGTGTGGGACAGCAGCTCAGTGAGAAGGAACTATTTTTACATTATGACCTGGAGTGAATCAAATTTATATGTATATTTTCAGTAGAATTAGGGAACTTCTTTACATGTGTACCAAATAAAAATTATAAATAATTTGTGAAACTAAAATTTATTTTTCTAATTGTTTTATTCAGAAATTCTTAATACTTAGTGTAAGTATATTTTATTACCCTGTCTCTTAATGATGTTTAGGCTGAGTGAAATGTTTCATTCAAAATCTTAGAGCCAGAAAGTGATAACAGGTTTTAGGTTTTATTTCGAGTATATTAACTATAGGTCATCAAAACTTCCTCAATAATACTGTAAAGCTTTTTATAGGTAAATACACTTTTAATGCTTATTTCTTCTTTCTTTTCAGAATTACCATGAAATTATGACTCGTCATCCTGAGAATTATCAATGGGAAAATTGGAGTCTAGAAAACATTGCCACCATTTTAGCCCACCGTTTTCCCAATAGTTACATTTGGGTAATAAAGTGTTCCCGGATGCATTTGCACAAATTCAGCTGCTATGACAATTTTGTGAAGAGCAACATGTTTGGTGCACCAGAACACACCCCGGACTTTGGAGCCTTTAAGCACTTGTATATGTTATTAGTTAATGCTTTTAGCTTAACTCAGAACGGTTTTCTGTCCAAGAACAGGAGTGTTTGCAATAAGGATTGTAAAGCATCTAACTGTGAGTCTAATTCTTCTACTACTAGTAATGGTGGCCAGGAGGAAAAAGAGAGGACCTGTGAAAACCTGGAGGAGTCTGCCGGGAGTTCTGCTCAGCTCTCATTGAATGCTGCATCGTTTACTTTGGTGGGATTCAGTAAAGGCTGTGTTGTTTTGAATCAGTTGCTGTTTGAGTTGAAGGAAGCCAAGAAAGACAAGAACTTAGACACTTTCATCAAAAGTATAAGAACGATGTACTGGCTGGACGGTGGTCATTCTGGAGGAAGCAATACTTGGGTCACGTATCCAGAAGTCTTGAAAGAGTTTGCTCAAACAGGGATTACTGTTCACACTCATGTAACACCTTATCAAGTACATGATCCAATGAGATCCTGGATTGGAAAGGAGCACAAGAAATTTGTTCAGATACTTGGGGATTTGGGTATGCAGGTGACTAGCCAAATTCATTTTGCGAAGGAAACTCCCTCCATAGAGAATCACTTCAGGGTTCATGAAGTGTTCTGAGACTTCATGTGTTTGCTTAAGTGGGAGAACCAAGGACTTCGTTAAAACACAGATGACGAGATGTAAGAGTAATTAGATGCATTGTCAGTTTGTGGGCTAAGAAGATGCACATTCCAAAAATATGTGTCATATACAGTAGGATTCCTTGCTTGTAAATGTGCGCAGCTTTAAATTTTGATTGGATTAGAATTAATTTGAAGTCTAGAAGGATAGTGTGTGATAATTCTATGTCCTTTAAAAGTGAAAGAAACTTGGTGTTAGTCTTTTTAAAAGGTAATAAAATTGGTGTTGGAAAGAGCTGATTTTCTGAGAGCTCTTTTAAACTAACATTCAGCTGTTGGCTATAGTCATTTCACTTCTTTCTCTGTCCAGGGTTCTTGGGGGGACATTTGCACCCTGCCTCCTGCCTCCTGGGAAAGTTTTGTGATCCCTTGGACTCATTCTCTGTGTTCCACCAAGTGTTTGTTTTGTTTTGTTTTTTAAAGTCAAAATCTATTTATTCCCTCATATTTAAGATCGTAAGATTGTGTAGTTGGTTTTTTAAAACATATTACACTAAGCGCTGTAACTTAATTCTTAATTGACAGTTTTTAATTATCTGGTAGTGTGCTCTCAGAAGGAACCAGATTCCACAGACCTAAATCAGCGTTTCTTCAGAAGCATGGTTTTGTCTGCCAAGAGAAAATAGCTTTCTTTGGCCAAATGTAAAATTACATTGAGATAAGAAAGGTTACAAAGGAAAGTTTGAAGACACAAATAATTTAAATTTTGGCCCAGAAACTGAATTTGCTTAACACTGCTACATAATTTGGGTGAAGTTTCCTTCTGCCCATTTTTCTTCACTAGATAAATGCATTTTGAAAAACCAAAATCTAACGAATTTCAAACAATATTGGAACAAAGCTGTGTGGTTATAAAAGTGGCACTTTTTATTTATGAATAAATAAATGAAGCTTTCTAGGTCATGGAATAACCAAACATGGAAATAACAGGCTGTTTTGGGATCAAAAAGAAAATGTATACTAAAGATTAGTATCTTAGTGTATGAAAAGTGTTAATTTCTTGGTTTCTTCCAAAATTACATTTTAATCATCCTATAAATATATTCCCAATATTCGCTCATTAGAAAGGATTCCTTCACACCAGATGTTTAAAATGAACGTGGTTCTATCAACTACAGATAAGTGTCTGTACTTTTTTTTTTCCTAAATAGTTTTATATTGTTTCTCTTTGAGTATGTTTTAAGACCAGCACTTCCCATTGTAGAAACAAGTCACCTGGCTTCTTTCTACCTCATTGTGCATTTCCTTAACTTTAAGTACTAGGATTGGATGGCTACACTCAATTTGTTTAATGGTTGTCAAATGTATCACTTAATGTAAAACAGCTGAATTCCTGAGTGGTCATACAGAGGGAAGGCGTTTGTTTTCACAGGATTAACTCAAGTGGAAAGAGAAGGGTTTTTTTAAGAATTCATTTTAAATGTCTGAGTTAGTTCCTCATCTCTCCATTCATGTGAATGTTCAGTTGTTACATGTTAAAGTGGACACTGATCCAAGGGACACCAGAAACTGCCATCGCTTCTGGAGATAGTGTTGAATAATACAAATACTTTGGAGTGGAAATGATTGTTAACCCACACACAGGTATTTCTGTATAATACTACAAATTGGTCCTTTTCCACATTTCTTTAAAACTGTGTATGTTAAATGTGTTATTGTAAACGTGTGTCCTACTTGATTGAGCCTTTGTGAAGAGTCACTGGGGAAGTAGTCTTACAAATGGAAAGTTGTTACCACCACAGCATGAACATCTAACTGTATTAAAAATAATAATCCACAGAAATGGTGTTTGGATTTATGTCTTAGATCATTGGAAAGGAAACTGTACACCTTGCCATTTTGTGTGTCTGCTTTTACTTCCGTCTTTTTCAAGTGAACTACTTTCCTTTTCATTGAGTACACCTCATAACTGCCAGCATTATACTCATTTCTTCTGTTGGGTTCCTAGAGGAAGTCCACCTCTCCCTTTTCTTTGCTGATATCTTAGCTGTCTATACTCCTTTATCCCCATAAAAGACCATTGGAATATAATGATTTGTTTCATTTCATTTATGCAGTGTCCAAGAACCCCCTGTATAAGGAGAATCTAAGCAACAAGGATCTAACTCAAGTCCCCCCATGTTAGCAGAGAAATAGCCAGCAGCCTAGAACTTAGGAACACCTGAAACAAAGTATTGTATCTCATTTGAAGGCCTTTTAGAGAAACATGAATTAAGGAATAAGAGATAAGTGGCCTCAGCTGTGACTCACAATGCTTTAACTGAAGTGGGCCTCTCAGTCTGAGTCAGTGGTGGGGACAGGTACTCAGGAATCATTTTAGTCTCCTGGTATGTTTAAGACACCCATTGACGACTTCTACGTTTGAAACAAGGTTAACACCAGAGTGCCAGCCTGTCAGTTTCTCCTGACCCATCTGTTTCCTAACACTGGAGGAAGGAGCCATGTGGGCACAGTCCCAAATTCTATCACAACCTGCCTTTCACCTCCCTGAAATGACCCACCCTACTCTACAACTCCTTAGATTTAACTTCACCTTTTTATAGGTATGAGATATGCCTTGTATTGGATTCTTTGCAAATGTTCACATAGCTGCTACAAAAGGATAGAAGAAATTTAGCCTTGTTGGCCGTCTCTTGGTATTACATACATTTTGAAATGATGGGGTAAGTACTCTTAATGAAATACGCCAAGACAAACATTATCATGAAAAGCTAATAGTGTTGTGAAATATATTTTTGAACAAAATGTACAAAGCCACAGATGTATCTCCTGTGACTACTCAGCCCCATCTCAGCAATTGCTATCACTAGGTTGGTTGTGTACCTAGCAGAGCTAATTCTGTCTATGTAAACGTTTACACAGAGCATACATTGTACCAATGGCGGCAGAGTTTTAAGGTTTTTATGTAACTGAACTGGACAAATCCCATGCCAACTCATGTAACTGCCAGACTCCTGGGTTGCAGATATTGTACCATACTCTGCCGTCTTCCCATTGACTGTTCTCATTTGTGTCCGTTTCTGTATATAGTGAGCTGTACAGAAGTTTTGTTGGGAGAAAACGAGTTTGTTAAGCCTCGCATCAGCTGGAAGAATGGGGTCGGACTAATATTGTCACTACCACTATAATCTCAGTTTCTGTAGCAGGGTGATTATATAATTTCTAACATTCATTCATTCAATAAAATATTTCAAATCCAATGAATTAGTTAACATTGTTATTCATTTGGCCTTAAAAGATTAAAATGTCTTCATTTAAAAATATGACCGAGACTGTCTAAAAACTCCAGGGCTTCACTGCAGTGCTGCAAACACACTTCAAGGGAGTTAACACGTCTTAGAAGAATACAGAGTGACTAGCATCAGTCATTGTGTGCTGGTCTGTAACTGGCTTTTGTAGTGTGTGTTCTAAGTATCAGTTACACTTTCAAGATGAAGATAATACAGATCTGCCAGTTTCCTTCTAGGCTACCTAACAAGAGTTTTGTGTAGGTCAATTTGGTTATAGTTATAATGTTTCTACATGACCCTCTTGGTGCTGTGGTCTGAACCCAGTTATCCATGCTGGGTGAGTGCTCTACCACTGTGTTCCCAACCCTCTGGGTGATCTGGTTAGGTTATTCAAAGCTAATTACTGTATGAACTAAGGGTTTACATCTTTTCCTTTCTAAGAAAAATCATTAAGTGCTTTGCTAAGGCTAAGAAGTAAAGGTAATAAAATCTGATTAGACCTAGCTAGCATATTAAAACATTTTTCCCAATACACATTTACCCTTTGTTCATCTCAATTTATCTTCCAAAGATTCTAAGAAAAGCCATAATTTTATATACTTTTCCTTTTGTTTAATTCCTGAAATGAATGCAACTCTAAACGGCATGAATGAGTGAGTCACCTTCAAGAGTAACTATTTCCTCTGTAGATGAGATGGTCAGTAAAGAGTTGTTCTTCAATGACACTGAGTGAGTAGGGTCAAAGAATAGTGCGTACGCGCGCACACACACACGGCTCATTCTCTTCAGAGATTACATTAGTGGGCTTTTTCATCATTAAAGGAAGTATTTATTTAAAAAACTAGAAATAGTACAGAAGTATCTGCTAGGAAAAAATTATTAAAGTTTAGATGTAAGTATTAACTAAAGAGAGGCTGACAACATTTGGGGGGCAGGAAAGGCCAGGGTCAGACATTTGGGTAAATCCAGAACTCAGGATCCATCACACCATCAAATCTACCATTTTTAGCATCCTGTAAGCTTTATTAAATATCTATTCTGTTCCCTCATACACTTCTGTGCCCCAAGGAAGAGCATCCCACTCGTGTTTAATTGTATAGCATGTGATGATGACTGGCTCATTGATGGACAGGGCTAAGCCATTTCAGAGCATTAAGGCTAAGGGCCTGGTAGGGAATTCTGGAAAGCGGCTTCATGTAAGACAGTGCCTGTGGATTCCAGCCAGACGATTCCACTGCATACAAATGAAGACACACAAGGCCCCAGCTGCTACTGGCAACCATCCCATGACCACGAGGGGAGCTAGACCTAGGATAATGCCAATCCTGTGGCTGAAAGACAGTGGGGTGGGGGTGGGGTGATCAAAAGTTTCTGGTGGCACTACTGAATCACTGCAAAGACCAAAGAAGGTCACTCCATCAGTAGACTTTATGTAGTGTGATTCAATACATATTTTTATTGTCAGAATTTTAGTTATTTACATCTTAGAGCTAAAGAATGGGTCTACTAAGCATTCTCAATCTGTACCAAGTAGAAATCAAATATGCATCTCCTTTTATACAATAAATCTGAGACTGATTTATCCTATTTTTAAAAAACATCTTTTTTTTTTTTTTTTGGTTTTTTCGAGAAAAAACATCTTTAAATGTTTATATCTTGTTATAGGTTTCAAATACTTAAGCTTTTATTTATTTTTAAATTTTTACTACATTTAGTTCATTTTTTTTACTCAAAGTTCTTGCTGTAGGCTTTGTCTTGAATGCGTAAGACCATTTGGCGTGCATAGAAGTCCCTGTATTCCTCCGGTAGTTCAGCCAGTGTTTTCAAAGCTCTGTCCAAGATCTGCACAGCTCTGGATGCTGCTACAGGGTCTTTGTTGCCGTAGGTATCTGTTTTGTCATAGCATTCCGATGGAAGGTGCTTCCAAAAGACATTCACGCCCACGCCAAACTCTTTAGAAATTACATTATGGAACCATAAAGCTGTAGGAAGTTTTTTAAAAAAACAAGTTAAAAATAAAACCTCAAGTTAAAAAAAAAAAAACAAATGTCAGTGAAATACCACGAATTGCATACACCAATGTAAGAAACATCCTCTGCAGCAAGCTTGCCGCTTGCCCATCCCTGCTTTCCAGTCACTCTGAACGACCAGCCAGTGCAGTGCCAGAGCACTGCCCTCGTTCTAAACTCCTTAGGAATTTTCATTATTCCCGTCTAGCTTGAAAGACATAATAAAGTTGTAATAGCTTTGTGATTCTCCGATTTGGGGCAGTCTTTTGTGTTACACGTTCCGCTTTCTGACTCACACAACCACATCAGAACATGGAGTATCTTTGTACACAGAGCATTTTAATTATTTGAAGACTGTGCCTGGTCCTTTGTGATTCAATACAGTACTTGTTCTCAGAAACTTCCTATTCCAAAGGCAATCTGGTTCCCTTACTTAAGCTAGCACACACTGTAGCTTCAGGTTTTAGGTTTCCAAGCCTCTTAGATCCAGTCTCTGCTTCAGCTCCTTTACCACAGTCAGGAAACACTACAGCAAATCCTTCGGTGGTGGTACAGAAGAAACTTGATCATGTTATTTAGCTATTTCTTTCCTTTTCACTAGAAAGTTTACTGTTTTCAACTAACATTTTCAAAATGTAAGTGCTGGAAGAATATTAAAGAACACCTCAATGTAACAGATGGAATGCTAATCATGCCAGAAGTGTTAGTCTTATGAAAGGGGGTTTAAATCCTAGAGACACACACTCTAACGGAGTTCATGGAAGAACAATACTTTTATTTATAAAAGTAGTCCTCAATGTTCTTGTTTTAGTTATAAGGTCTTTCAGAATCTTTATTCACTTGTTAATATATCAGAAAAAGCTAGCCATTCTGATAATTAACTCAAAAGATGGAAATCTTGTTTTGCATTAAAATATATGTAAATACTTAATTTCTAGATAAAATGAATACAGTAAGAGAAAACTACATAGCTCTAATCATGTTCTAAAGACACAAACACCAAAAACTGAATGTATACAATGGCAATAGATTAAGATAAAGGAGCAGTTGCTGACAAAGTACAGTACTAAGTCAGTGCATCAGGCTTTGATCAGCTATATGAAGGGCGCTGCCCTTTGAGGAATATAAGATTAGCAAGAATGTGATCCTTGTGCTCAAGGAATTTACAATCTAACCTCAAGTATGTCACTTGATTTTTATTGTTTAGAGATGCTTCAAAAGTTAATTCTATCACTGAATAAAAGTATCAATAGTTTATGAACAAATTTATGAACTACCGCAAATAGAATTACATAAGTAAAATTGGTCAATAAACCCCATTATTTATGATCTTTATAATCTTTTGTTTTGCTTTTGTTTTTGGAGACAGAGTTTCTCTGTGTAACAGCTCTGGCTGTCCTGGGACTCACTCTGTAGACCAGGCTGGCCTCGAACTCACAGAGATCTGCCTGCCTCTGCCTCCTGAGTGCTGGGATTAAAGGTGTGCCACTACCGCCCAGCTGATCTTTATAATCTTAAGGTATTCACTTAAGTGTTAATAACAGATAATAACTATATCACCATGTTACTAACAACATGGAAATTTTATGAGCATCCAAACTAATGCTTATTTATTGAACATAGAAACTATATATAGAAAAAGTTTTCAGATGTTGATATTATATTTTCATATTTAATACAAATCTATAGTCTTCTTAGAAAATTTTGACCATTTCTGAAATGCCTATATACTTTAGAAATAGAATGATTTTTAAAAAACAACTGGGTAAAAACTTTCCCCCAATACAAGGTATATTACACTTCATGTTATTTCGTAAAATAACTTAGAATACTATCTTAATAGGTTATGACAGGAATACATTGAGAATACATCACTGTGTTAGTAACACGGATGGAATTACTACTAGATGGTACAGCCTATTGCAGGGTATATGCTTGTACAGCAGTTTACTGTCCTGAAGACAAGACAGAGGACAGCTGTGCCACAATGTATGTCCAGTATATCTAGACACAAATAAAGACAGAAAACACATAAGTGTGGTCTAGAAACCTTACCAGGAATGAACAGAGCATCACCAGCCTCAAGGGAACACTCATACCTCCTCGCCTTAGCAAAGAGTGGGTATTTATCCAGGTCTGGGCTGTCAATATTCAGCACTTCTGATTTAGAACCTAGAAAGTTCCCAAGAGATATCATACAGATTGAACCAAGTTTGCATTTTTTAAAAAGTAATCACAAATATAAACTTGAAACTTAAAATTCTTTTCAATTACTGAATTCACACTTTGAGAACTAACCATTCTTCTGAAACCTAAGGTAATTTTCAATGACCATTCTTTAAACATAACAACTGACATCTATCATCCGTGTAATAAAATAAAGAATCTGAAAACGGTGTTTTGGAGCCTGTCCTGGAACTCACTCTGTAGCCCAGGCTGGCCTCAAACTCAGAGATCTGCCTTCCCAGTGCTAGGATTAAAGTCAAGCACCACCATGCCTTGCTTTGAAAACACATTCTTTATACTGCCTACCATCACGACACATATACAATGAGAATACGGGACATAATTAGGAAGAAGTATCCTACAATGTGATCTTCTTCTTTTTTTTTTTTTTTTTTTTTTTTGGTTTTTCGAGACAGGGTTTCTCTGTGTAGCTTTGCGCCTTTCCTGGAACTCACTTGGTAGTCCAGGCTGGCCTCGAACTCACAGAGATCCGCCTGGCTCTGCCTCCCGAGTGCTGGGATTAAAGGCGTGCGCCACCACCGCCCGGCGTGATCTTCTTATATTATTTAAAAATAATAGAATAAAACTGTAGAAACAAAATTATATCATACCTGATAAATACAAATAGTGTGCATCTCGAGGACTGAACAGTGTAACTCGCTTCTTTCCTGTTACTTGTATTAAAAAGTTATCCATTACCTAAAGATCAATAAAATGTGTAAGCAGTATCTAAAATTCAAATCAACAGAACTAATGGCATTCTAAATAGTTAACTTCAAACCTATTCTGTCCTTTTTTCTTTTTTGGAGGGGGGGTGAGGTGGGGTTCACAGGGTCTCATTATGTTGTTCAAACTGGCATTCTAATGCTCCTGCCTCAGTGTCTGAGTAGCTGGGATCACAGGTATGTGTCACTGCATGTTAGACCCTATTCCTCTTGTGAGATCTGACCCACACAAGACTCTTAGAGTTGTAATTCAAACCTAACAATGAAAAGTTTGTACTCCATACACAACTATCTTTAAAGACATTTCTTCCCATATTTCTCAACATGGGAAAGCCCAGCACATGAGGAAAACGTGAAGTAGAGTAAGAGTGTCAGTACACCTCAGGTTACCCTGTCTTACTAAGTGGTCACAAATGCCCTGGGCCAGACAAAGCACCAATGTAGCTACTGTTCAACACTGCATACACGTCCACCCACACACACCGTGGTTATGAAAACTGTCATTATCAGACTATTTAGATAGGACTACAATCAGGCAAATTCCCATAGTATGCTCTACAATGAATCAATGTTAACTTTCCCTGTGTATACAAAGAGAATCCTCTCTTGGTACAGACTGTGAAAAATGTTAAAAGCCAAAAAGGCACATGATTCAGTTAAAGAATAAAGACATACACTGAGCAAGATGTGTGCACGGTCATTCAGGTATCAATCATCACTACTGACACATTGCTTCCTTTAGCAGTAACCCTTTACTTAGCAAGCACTAACTGTAATTATAACTACTACTCCTCTGACTTTTTCTTAAGTATTATATATTCTATTATAACTCAAGGTCAAAGTAAACTACTTAAAATTTAAAGCATAATCTATAAAGTTAAAAACCTATGAAGCACATCATTTCTCACCAATCATTCAGATAAAGCTTTGAAAAAATGCTAAGATTCCATCTATGTCTCATCTAACTATAGAGTTACTATGTTGAAATCCCCTGTAAATTTTAAAATGTTCTAGAAGAACCACGTACATGGCATAACAGTTTAGTGTGCTGTCATCTGTCTGAATTCCTGCCAGCTGGGAGGCAGAGAAAGAAAGATCTAAGGTCAAGTCCAGTCAGGGCTTTAACACACAACTCCTATTTCAAAACAGCAAAAGCTTTTGGAAATATAACAGGTATTGCATAGCTTCTTGTTTCTCCAGCTGCCAATACCAAACTATAAACAACATCATTTAAATTTTTACTATGCTTACACACATAGTCAGCAAATAAAGCCAATGAGAACACAGAAGCAGGATCAGTCTATACATCCTACTCATCTACAAATCAGCAAACATTTGGTGTTCTCAAGGGATACATATCCTCGGGCCTTCAGGTACCCCAAATTCTTATTCTTGCAAGTCATTCCCACAATCTCTACCTTTCCCCTAACTAACAACTTTGATGGCCAGTCAAATGTTTCATTAAGACACTTTCTACCACACTGTGTTTCCACATCTCCCCCCACCAAGCCATAACTCATTTCCCATCTATAGTCAAGAACAAGACCACAGAGAAACAGAAAAACTAGGTTTTGCTATCCGCTGACTCCATATTACCACTGTCCTACAGATGGCTTATTCTCACGGCTCCATGTTTCAGTCAATGACACTGCACAGATCTCTAAAGGAGCCATAAAGCTCACTCTATGAACATTAGACCCTAAGAGCAATGGATTTCTGAACCTTCCCATTTCTTATTTTGTAACGTACGTCATAGTGAGTCCAGAGTTGCAATCCAGGTGAACTAATTCGAAAAACGCTGGAAAAGAACTGCTCCTCTTCGAAGAATATTGGAAACTTAATATCTCCTCCTAACGATGGGAACTGCTGTCTGATATCTGCAACATCCTGCATTGACAGACATACAAAACATCCTTAGATTCAGAATAATATCTGGAAAGAATTTCAGTAATAAGCAACACTGGCATAACAATTACTGTAAGGCACAGCATAGTGAGTAGTAAGGACGTGAGAGGCAAGTGTTTGTTCAGGGCTTTAAAGTCCAGTGACGTGACCAACCACCAACAGCCCACCCAGTGGTTCTCAACCTGGGGGTCACGACTCCTTTGGGGTCATAGCAGATATTTACATTACGATTCCTAACAGTAGCAAAATTACAGTCATGAAAAGCAACAAAAATAATTTTATGGCTGGGGGCATAACATGAGGAACTGTTAAAGGGTCGCAGCATCAGGAAGGTTGAGAACCACTGCTGTGACCTTTCGAGTGAAGGGGAACAGACTAAAGTATCACTACTGTCATCTTGAATAGACTCACCAACACAGCAAGACTCACATAATTCATATCCAGTCTAGCCTTATTCATTTGGCTCTGAATACACATAAAGGCTCATCTAAAAAGTCTTCAGTAATTTTAGGTAAGTATTTTATTAGCTGAACTACCATCTGTAAAATATAGCAACAGGAATTCTTATTGAATAGAAATTAGATGACTCTAAGATTCTATAGTTCAGAGTAATTAAATAATCAACTTTTAAAGATTCCTCATTCAGGGACACAAATCATTAAAGAAACAGAAGAGGATGAAATGGGTTATGTATCCAACAATAATAGAAAATTTATAGTGCTAATGTGAAAATGCTCACAGACATTTTAAGTAACTGCTTTAAATCCATAATTCTTACCTTCCTCGGGTCTTCTCCAAGTGACCGTAAGTAGTATTTCTCATCCTTAAACACCCCAAAGAAAAACAGCATCAGTAGTCATTAAAAAATAGTAAGAAATAAGAAATGGAGTAAATCTTAAAATATGGCCTAGTTAAGTCTAATCTAAAAAGTTCAATTGTCTTACCCTTTCTACTGATGCTCCCTGGTGGCCACATAAAGAAATGTCTTTATATGTTGCTCATGACTAGATCCAGTAAATAAAAGACATTCTAAAGGCAACAATAAGCAAGCGTGAAGCCAACCGATTAACTGATACTTCAATGTTCACTGTTTTAACATCTGATAAATCAATATGAGTCCAACAACAAACTGAATGCAGCTATGAAATGAGATAAATAAAACCCTTATCCTTTGGCACATTAAAAAACAAAACGAACAGGGAGACTGCATTACACCAGAACATGCCTACCCCCAACAACCTACATTTCCACACCAAATCCTTAAGAGTCAGCTCATGCACGATCTAGAAATGCATCAATTTATGAGAGCAAAATTGCATAAGCTATCATTTACACTTCTGACTACCTGAGTAGCTAATTAAGAGAACTGATTATGAAACAGTTACCACAGGGCTGGGGGTCAGACTCTGTTCCAACACTGGCCCTGCCTCTGCGACACCTGGAACTCTATTCCCTAGCTCCACAAACAACACAAAACCACCCACTACTGTGTGCATTTCCTAGAACTGAGATCTAGCAGGTCAAGTAAAGGCACAATCCAACTCAAGAATTCTGCCTTCCAGAAACCAATACAGACTATTGTAACATAAACTTTGCATTTTATTTAACCTTAAAATAAACTATTAATCTACACTCATAAATTAATAACTCAGTTGTTTTCATACTTTAGTGACACATTGAAATGATTCTTTAAATAGGTTTCAAAGTATGTTCTTCAAAATCTGAACTGTCATTCAGCAAGACACACTACTCAGACTCTTCATCAAGAAAGGGCTCTTTGCTTATTTACAAAGAATGCATTTAATCCAGGGCTATAGCTGTCGATTTCTTCAGGTTCACCTCAGCATCTGACCCAGGATTACATTCTTCACACAGGGTAGACCCAAGCAACAGCCAAAGAGGGCAAGCGGTCTAGAAGCTGCCACCTATGCAGAAGTCCTCTGATGGACTCTTTGCTCAGGGTTCCGGAGAACTGGTAGACCGCCAGGTGTGTATAGATGTATCTGATGGCTCCCCCAACACGCGCGCGCGCGCACACGCCAACTTCTCCCGAGATTCCTCTTCCTTCCTTCCACAGCCACTACTCCCTGATGCTCTGATTCCATCTCAGTCTTAGCTTCCCATGACTTAACTGAGAATCCATGTTGATCTTTTCACACACATCCCATAATTATTTCAATTTAACCCTTTGTCTATTTTACTGCACACTTCACTGGCTAGTTAATCTATGCCATTCATTAACTTTTGATGGGAAAAATCCCTAAAAGCAATGAGTATACATCCAAAGAATGGCTACTAATGCAGATGGGTTTTAAGAGACATTATAATCATGGTCAGGCTAGAGGTCAACACTGTTGCTTCCCAGGATGGCTATCTACCTTGTTTTCTGAGATAGGCTTACCTATTTGGCTATGCTGGCTGACCAGTGAGTTCAGAATCCTTTTGTCTTTGCCTCCCAGCACTAGAATGACTGCAAGTGTATGCCAGGATGCCCAGCATTCTTACATGTATGTGGGGGACCAAACTTGCATCCTCATGTTTGCTGTGCAAATACTTTACCAACTGAAACACCACTCCAACGCTAACGTAATTAACTTGAAACTGTTATTTATGGGTAAGCCCTACTTAATGCCCTAATCAAGGTATTAAACTGAATTACTCAGAGGCACATTTTAATGTAAGAATACTGCTTTAATTTTGAACAAATGTTACACAGATAAAAGAAACAATACTGATAACAATAAAACATAGAAATTCTAATATAAGATATGAAAATAAAGTTTTCTATTAACATTTGTATTTGGTGTACAACACCAGAGTATTTTCAAAGAGAGTAGGATTAATGATTAATAGCTGAAGAGTAGTTCCTGTGTCAGGCACACTACAAGTAATGATTATTTTATTTGGGTAATCTTTATGAAATAAGTAGTTTTTAGTCTTCACATAGAAATAAATATATTTAAGCAAGAATAGTTTGGCCAAGGCTTGAGAGCTGATCATGATCAGAGCTTACAGCCTGTAGAACAGCTGCCCAAAGTTGAAGAAGGGTACCAGGACTAGAGCTCTGGGACATGTAGTTTTTAAGATCTTTTGTACAAAACAAAAGAAGTCCATTTAGGGAGGTCTGGGAAGATGGCTCAGTTGATAAAACGCTTGCTGTGTAAATATGAGCATCTGATTCCAACACCCAGCAGCCACATAAAAACAGCCGCATGTGGCGGTATATTCCTATAATCCCAGTACTGGGGACAAACACAGGAGACACCCTAGAGCTTGTTGGTCAACCAGCCTTCCAGGTTCCAAGAGATCTTTCCAAGAAAAAAACAGAAAAAAAAAAAAAGGTAGAGTGTGATTGAGGAAGACATCCAGTGCCAACCTCTGGCCTACACACACATGCACATACACATAAAATCCATTTAGTATATGGCTATTAACAACTTCTAAAAAAAAATTACCTTTGAAATAAAGAATTCTTCATGCGTTTCTTCGGCTGCTCTCTGGACCAGCTTGTTAAATGGTAATGTTCTGCAATAAACAACAGAATCCTTAGACATAAAAATAACATACCAACTAGTGATGCCATCATAATGCACGTAGGCTTGGCACAGTTGAGTGCCATGTGCTTTGAAATATCCAGTTTTTAGTATAATCCATGTGGATGGAATTCTGAATATTCAAAATTCATTTAGCAATACATAAATTTGACCTATTACCTGAATTTTTAGACTTAAAGATTTTAAATTTATGGTTCAGATGGATCTTCAAAGGCCAATATCCTTCCTTCCAAGTTACTAAGGGAGATGTTTCCATGGTATCAGAGTACTCTGAAAATACAAACTGGGGCTGAAGAGAGTTCAGTGTGTAAGAGCACTTGTTACTCTCGAGGACAATGGGCAGTCAGCTCCCAGCTCCCACGTGGTGGCTCACAACCATCCACAACTCCAGGTTCAGAGGATTCGATGCCCTCTTCTGGCCTCCATGGGCACAGACACACATGCAGTGCACTTACATACAGGCGGACAACTCAGACACATAAAATCAAAATACAGTTAAAAGAATGAAGAACACCAACTTTGAGGTTCTGACTGCCACCTGTCCTTATGGGCCGTGGCCAAGAAACTCTCGTGAAGGGACAACCCCTAGTCTCACACTAGCAATGAAGTGTGACGAGATGACTAGTGAAGACAGTCCAGCCCCTCTCCTGCCTGTCACCACTCAGCACAGGAGGCAACAATACTGCTCTCCCCTCCTGCTTTACCTGCCATCGTACAGCTTCTGGAGAAAATGGTCAGACATTTTAGAAACAATGTTTGTTTCCATTACGCCATACTCTTCAGGTTAGAGGGTTACCTTTGCTCTTGTTATCCTAGTACCTTCTAGAACCAAAAGCACTTCCTAGATGTAGCTCAGGGACTGAGGGATTTCAAAGACCTACAGAATATGGCATTTAAAATGTTTTAAAAATTTAGACTTTCTGGACAGTGAGACATGTCTGCTCCTGGCAGCACCGATTTACTTCAGAGAGGAGGCTGGGATTGAAGACACTCTATATGGAGTTTATCTTGTTCTTGGTAAAAATAGCCATTTGGGCAAGAAACTGTTCTTGCCTGGACTGCTTGATCGACTGGACATGCAGGACCCACAGGAAGGTGACCACTGAACTTTGCTTGGCAAAATGGTCCTTCAGGTTCCTGCTTCGCAGAGGAAACTGCCAGACATTCTACAGGACACAGAGAAAAGTGACTGAGAGACTCTAGGCCTATGGGCTGAAGACAGATGACCCAACTTTACGAAAGAACTTTGGATGACTGTCCAGGCTGCCAGCTGTCTCTGTCTACTCTCGAAAGACTCCCAAAAGTTGTTTGTGTCCTTCTCCCATTTCTCAGGTAATATATCTTTCTGAGGTCTTTGATGTAGTTGAAGACTAGATAGTTATAAATTTCCTCAGTTATGATAAAAGATAAGTTAGATATAAAACCTTAGACTCACAAATATAGTGCTGTGGGATATTCTGTATGTTAATGTGTTGCTCTGATTGGTTAATAAATAAAACACTGATCGGCCAGTAGCTAGGCAGGAAGAACAGGCGGGACAAGGAGAGAGAATAATTCTGGGAGGTGGAAGGCTGAGGCGGAGAGACACTGCCAGCTGCCGCCATGACAAGCGAGATGTAAGGTACCAGAAAGCCATGAGTCACGTGGCAAAGTATAGACTAATATAAATGGGTTAATTTAAGATAGAAGAACTAGATAACAAGAAGCCTGCCACGGCCATATAGTTTGTAAGCAATACAAGTCTATGTGTGTTTACTTGGTTGGGTCTGAGCAGCTGCGGGACTGGCGGGTGAGAGACCGTGGACCAGGCAGAACCAGAAAAACTCCAGCTACAATATAGGAGGATAGATAGGATATCTTCTTTAATATTGTAACTGTAATTCTTGCTTGATAATTGTTTTGTTATATGTAATTTTACTATGTGAAAGTTAAAACCTTCCTTTAAAAAAAAAAAGAAAAGGGGAAGTGCTGTGGGTATCGCTCTGTATAAATAAAATGCTGATTGGCCAGTAGCCAGGCAGGAAGTATAGGCGGGACAAGCAGAGAAGAGAATTCTGGGAACAGGAAGGCTGAGTCAGAGAGACGCTGCCAGCTGCCACCATGACAAGCGAGATGTAAGGTACCAGTAAGCCACGAGCCACATGGCAACTTACAGACTAATAGAAATGGGTTAATTTAAGATATAAAAACAGCTAGCAAGAAGCCTGAGCCATTAGGCCAAACAGTTTAAATAATATAAGCGTCTGTGTGTTTATTTTATAAGTGGGCTGTTGGACAGCTGGGGCTTGGCTGGACCCAGAGAGAAAACTCAAGCCACAACAAATAGTTTTAACATTTTTAATTTAATTTAAAAAATTATTACATGCATTTATTTGTGTGGGGGGGCCTGGATGCGGGTGGGTGTATTAACACCAGGACATGTGTGTGGAGGTCACAGGACAACTTGCAGGAGTCGGTACTTCTACCATGAGTGTGCAGGGCATCAAACTTAGGTCATCAAAGCTGCAACATGCACTTTATCCCCTGAGCCATGTCATGAGCCCCCAAGCTACTTTTTTTAAACCTTTGTTTTCTCATCTGTAAAATCATTATGAACAACATCTGTATTACAGACCATCTTATAGTTTAAATGGGAACTACAACCTAGTATTGCCACAGTACCTAAGACACTGTAACAACAGAGACAATATACCTTTAGCAACATACAAGTAGCTATCGTTAAAAACAAAAGACAACAAAATCCCTCAATACATCGCCGGGTCCTGTTTTTGGAATGGCTGCTTTAGGAGAGCAACACCAGGTTTGCTGAGAGGGTAAGAGGAGGATGGAGACAGAATTAGGTGGTGCAGTAAGTGGAGGCTCCAGAGCTAGGCTTCGGCTTACGTGGTGCTCCTGCTGAGAACATCCTGACTGGGAAGGATTAGGAATTAGCGGTAGCAAACAAGAGAAATGGAAACACTAATGCTTGTTCAGGCACGACCAATAGACATCTGAGAAAGGATAAAAGCAACTCAAACTGAAGTGATTATATATCAATGCATGTGATGTAGCTACAGGATTTCTGATGTTTCAATATCTCTAGATTAAATTCCTTCTTTCCTACTGCTTAGTAAATGCTTAAAAAAAAAAAAACCCTCAAACTACGTCTACTTTTTTCTTTGCACAAAAATAATTTTTCATGTTTTTAGTAGCTCTAGTGAAAGGCTTTGAAGAGGCTGGAATAGAAACTATTACATAATATGTGTTTTAAAAGCAAGTTCTGAAAAGTTTGAAAGACATGAAAAAAATCCAAACCATTGAAGATGAAATTTCAATACCCACTTGTTATGGCATTAGATTCTGGAAAATAAATACTATTAACTACAGGCTGAAAAATACTCATCCCTCCAGCACTTTCTTCCACTTTTCTGATTGAATAAAGGGTGCAAAGTTCTTACACTTGGAAAAACTTACGGCAATAAAGTTCAATCCATGGCCTGTGAAGTCACCCAAAACTATACTGGTGACCACTCAACCGGAAACTGAGGAGTGCTTTGGCAATCACCACACAAGCTTGGAAGGCACTGGAGAGAGGAATGGCCTTACACCAGAAACCTCGTTTAGCTCATCTCTAAATCTCCTGTGAATAACAGGGCCTTTTAATAAATTTAATTTGCTGGGAACTGCACATGCTCAGAATGTGAAAGCTGTTTGTTTTTTAATCTAACACTTTTTGTGACTCTCATGGGAATAAATAACACATGAGATCTGCAAGATGCCATAAAATGCATTCAAACGTTCAGCAGCTGATGTACCTGCCAGAGACTGCACAGCATACACAGGGGTGGAAGAAGCTATGGGCGTTCACAGCTCAGCTCGGGTTTGACATGTTACTAAAAGGAAGACTGCACACCAGACACAGGCTGTCCTGTGCTTCTTGAGAGGCAGAAACAAACATCAGCCTTGCGGACACCGACCTGCGCCGGGCAATGGCAGCAGAAATGGGTCAGTAAAGACTGAACACAGCACACAACTTCAGAGGCAACCGGACTCCAAGAGTAGAGATGCTCTGTTCCATGACTCCAAAGGATACAGAGTGCACCCTATATTTAAAGAATAAGACTGTGGAAATGTCTCTGTACAATTATGTAAACTCAGAATTCTTGTCTTTAAGCCACTCATTAAAAAACAGTAAGCTATTCCATGTTACATAAACTAAAGCTGAGATGGTCTTATATAATGATGTAAAAATATTTTTAAAGGTTTAAAAAGTTATTTGTGTCCCCAGAGTAACCTCAGAAGAAAATACCTATACACAAAGTTCTTACTAATGAAGTCCATCTGTGGGACTGCAGCAACGTGAACCTTCACTTCTTTCGTCCCTCCAGCTTGGCTCAGGTAATCCACTGTCCATTTGCTTGTACAAGATCCCAAGTCCAGTCCTTCCAACACAAGAGGCTTTCTCTATAAAGAAGGGAAAACACAGCACAACTGTGAAAACGAACAGTCCATCAGGAGCCACCCGGAACCGGAGTGTGGCTTTGAGCTAGCCTAAGATGCTCCAACCGAAAAGCATCTGACAGTTTGTGCTATGACTAAAACATGCAGATTACCTCCATCATACACCAAGAACAAACCCAAGATTAGGAAAACAAAATAGTCTCATCAACAGATACAAGAAATTCAAATATTAAAGTATTTTCATGTTATTTATGGCAGAAATATCTTTAAATTTTACTTCATTTTTGTAGCTTTTAATTTTGATATCACTTTAAGCTTTCTAAAAAATCCAAGAACATAAGAATTTCCATCTGCTCTCTACTTGACTCACCAACTTTTCAATATGTAGTCCCATTTGTGTTATCACGTGCTCACACACTCAGTGTTTAGAGACAGACATTTATTAAACCTCATTTTTCTGAACCATTTCAAAGTTAAATTGTTAACATGGCCTCATCTCTAAAACTGAAGTAGCCTTTCTGAAAACAAGGTTATTCTCTTACAGAGGAATTATCAAAGTTGTATCTCACACAGTATTATGTAATCCACCATGCACATTTAATTTCACTAATTATCCCAATAATTTCCCTTAGAGTTCTTTCCCTGACCCAGAATTCAGGCTGAGATGCCACTCAGATTCAGTGATCACATCTCTTTCCATCTGGAATGGTTCATCAGCTTTCTTTGTCTCCTGACCTTAATATTTGAGCACATAAACCAATTATTTTGTTGGATACCCTTGGATTTGGGTTTATTTAGTTTCTTCATGATTAGATTTTAGGTTATGCAATTTGAGTAAGGAATGTTCCACAGAAGGAATGGAGTGGTCCTCCAGTCACATCAAGTGCCACGTGATATTCTGCCCTGACATTTATTCAGTCTCTCTGCCTCCGCGTTTACTGGCATAATTTTAATGCTCACATTATCACAGATTTGACTAGTAGGTCTCTTTGGGCTGGTTCCTGTGACTTTTAAAACTAAACATTTCCTTATTTTATAACAAAATAAAACAATCTAAGTATCTTTTTCATTTCCCTGCCCAGCCCTGCAAACCACCATTTCTTTAAGAAACCTTAGTTTCTTTTAAGTGGAAACTTTTCTTTTGGCATTTTACTTATGTGTGTAATTATTATATTTATCTACCCCAAAGGGGCTCTTTCAGTGCTGTATCCTAACTTCTGCCTTCTCAATGGTGAGAGTTGAGAAACATGTAAGGACATGTGTGTAACTCCCAAATAGACAAATCTAGACATGCAATTACTTACCTTTACCTCTCCCCGTGTATGTACTATGTATACATACACATAAACTTAATGTACTAGGAATAATACATATGTCAAGGTTAAATCTAGCCTTTGTTTGTATCTTTGCAACTATTTTTGTTCAACAATGAAAAACTTATTTCCCGTCATTGATATTTAATCATATGCCAAATTCCAGAATTTCCAGCAAACACTTTCCTAACTGCTCATTAACAGGGCCATACAACACAAGTCTCCTAGCTTGAACTGCTCAGTCCTTCCATCCTTTAAAGGTAACTCACCCCCAAGTAGGCTCACTTGTTGCTCATTTTCTCTTTCTTTCTTTAAGACAGGGTTTCTGTGTGTAGCCTTGGTGGTCCTGGAACTCACTCTGTAGACCAGGCTGGCCTCGAATTCAGATCTGCCTGCCTCTGCCTCCCAAGTGCTGGGATTAAAGGCATGTGCCACCAACCACCCAGCTATTTCTACTTTAGGATTTTTTTTTTTTAATCACTTTTCCCTTTTGTTGAATTTTTGTGTTTGTTTTGTTTTGTTTGAGACAGAGTTTCACTATGTAGCCCTGGCTGGCCTAGAACTCACTATGTAGACCAAGCTGGCCACAAACTCACAGAAATCCACCTGCCTCTTCCCAGCCTCCTTATTGTTTGTTTTTTTAATTATTACCTTAGAATGTAAAATATTAATTGTATTCCCCTCAAAGCCAGCTACCTTACCACATCCTTCCATCTCATCCTCACTCATCCTCTAGAGACAGTCAATTAATTTCTCTCTTTCTTCTTCTTCTTCTTCTCCTCCTTCTTTTCCAGTTTTTCGAGACAAGGTTTCTCTCTGTACTCTCTGTAGCCCTGGCTGTCCCAGAACTCACTCTGTAGACCAGGCTGGCCCCAAACTCAGAGATCGGCCTGCCTCTGCCTCCCAAGTGCTGGGATTAAAGGCGTGCACCACCACTGCCTGTATTTCTTTTATTCAAAGTGCCCCCAAACACACATTTGATCTCCCCCCAAGACTACATATTTTCTTTTTAAAAGTTTAAAAACATATACTTTGAAAATTATTGCTATCAGTTTCCATGTTACTCGTTTTTATAGCTTAGTGTATCAAAGAATAAATGAGTTATAATTTATCTAATTTCCCTCTCATGTATACTTAGTTTACTTCTAATAATTAATAGTATAATAGAACCCTGTAAATATTATCATATATTTAGAGAAATATCTGCCAAGTAAAATCCTAAATAAGAAGTTGTTTGGTTATAATTAAACTCAGGGGGACACTACTCACAAAGACACGAAGTAGGAGAGACTTGTTGACAAGAAAGGTTGCTTCAGGACAGGAGTGAAAATGAGCAAAATTCATTATGTCATGTACAAAGTTGTCAGAGAACAACAATACACAATTTTAAAACCTGCTGGATTATAAAGTAAACACATAGTTTGTGAGCTGTACCAATGGTTGAATCAGTTGGTATAAATCACCTGGCTGCTATTTCAACACATCCTCAGCAAGGGCGAGTTATCAGTGTCTTACTCTCAGGCAAGGTATGTGGCCTGAATTAGTATCTCAGTGCAGGAGCGGGCAGCCCTGCCTGGTTCACAGACACAAACGTTGATGACAAACTGCTGTGTTTTTCTGTTGATTCGTTGTGCTCTATCTCAAACAGACTTACTGTAAATGAGGCTAGGTAGAGAGACAGGGAGAATGAAATACACGGGAAAGGATGGGAGACCCTCACCCTGCAGTCTCAAGTCTCTTCTCACCAGCTGAGAGGTAAGAATTCAGCACAACTAACCAGTATGGTGGTGCACACTTTTACTCCCAGCGCTGGGGAGGCAGGGGCTGGTGGTTTTCTGAGTTCGAGGACAGCCTGGTCCACAGAGTGAGTTCCAGGACAGCCCTGGGTACACAGAGAAACCCCCCCACCAAAAAAATTCCAGCACAATTAACAAAATTTGCTGGGAGATTGCCTACATGGAGACAATGTTCCTTTTTATAAGGAAATACTTCAAGTAAAAATATTATAGCAACAAATGATGTCTAAGGCCAAAGCATATACAACCAAGTCTGGCTTTTCTCCTTTCCCGAACCTGTAAACCACCCATTTTCTGAGATTCTCATGAGCGAGACTAAAACTCCACTTGCAGTAAAGGGCAGGTCTCAATCTCTTGGTGCAACCTTAGTGACCCACGGTTTTATCCGATAAAACTGTAATATTATCCAAAGCATTTCTCTGTTGAAGCATGGCCTTAAAAACTCTTAGTAAACTCTGCCTCCTATTTACTTGATCAGAAATTTTTATCTGTAGTGCAATCAGGAGCTCTCAAAGGTACACTTCAGGCTGCACTAGCAGCGTGGTGGAGTAGCTGTATCTCCAGATCCCACCCCAATGCCACTAACACAACCTTAGAGACCTTTTCCCTTCGAATTTTCCTTCCTGTTTGTCCTGAAACTTGGACTATCTTGCAAAGTCCTGAAAGCAAACTTTTTTCTTTTTTAAAACCTACTTTCTGCTAGTTTTTTTTCCCCTTAAAAAACTAAAGGGTTTATAATGCCTTAATTACGGTCCAAGTTAAAAATCAAAGACCTGTACCAGAGGAAACGCACGGGAAGATAGATTCCCATTGGTTTCCCTGTAGTAATCTCTCACTGGACTAAAATGTTGCGCTTCAAAAATTTATTTCTCGGAATAGACAGGGACTGCGAGGACCAAGGCGGGGGTGGGAGGGTGTGTGTGTGTGGGGGGGGGGGGGATCCTGTACTAAATTTTAGGAAACCCCGCGGAAGAGGCGCACGCGAGGCCAGAACAGCCACACTCGTCATTTTAACAGGACTCCCTCCAAGGCCGCTCATCTCAGAGCTTTGGGAAAATGCTTCACGCCACCCAGCTTTCTGGGGTCATCCTGCTCCCCAGACACGAGGGGCCGTTTTTCTCCAGGGCTTTGAATTGCCAAGCCGGTCTGCAGGTCCCTTCCGCCCTGTCCGCGGGCGGCAAGCCACCCGGTGTGCAGCGGCTGTCCGCCGCCGTCTCTTCCTCCCACACTCGGGGACCCAAGAAAACCGACGGGAGCTCCCGGAGGTTCCGGGGTGTCCCCCCCACCGGCTTCCCGCGGCCGGGCCTCCTCACCTGTGGGTAGAGATGCTCCATGAACTGCTCCCGCGAGACGCCCCGGAGCCGGGGCACCGGAAGGCGCTGCTCCGCCATGCCGGGCTCAGGTTAGTTTGCACAGGCCTGGGCAGCCGTTCGTGTCCGTCACGACCGATCCTCCCGTAAACACAACCCCAGAAGAAAAGGGCCGCGAGCGGGGACGGACCCCAGAGGGCGGCTGGTTCGAAGCGCGGGGCGAGGAGCCCGAGGCCGGCTGCCGGGGCGGCGTGTGGCACAGCCGCGATGGGGGGACCCACCAGAGGTGGCAGCAGCAGGCGGCCTTTGCTCCGCTTCCCCGGCACCGCCGCGCTGGTTTCCCTCCGGCCTCCTTTCGGTACTGCACAGCTATGCAGAGGTGAAAGGTCACCAACATGGCGCTGGCCGCCCGTCTCCTGCCTCTGCCCCTACTTTCTCGGCCGCTGCCCGGCCGGGCCACCCGACTCTGGACTTTCGGTGCCACCGAGGTGAGGCTGTCGCTGACTGGATTTTGCTGCTTGTGCCGCCGCCGCTGCCTGGGCTCCAGCGCGGTCCCGGCCCCTCGCTGCACTTGGGCCTGGGCGACCCCGGCGCTGCGTTCCTGGGGCCCCCGGCGGCCCCTGCTCGGCCGGGCAGAACTTCTTCCAGCCCTCGCTTCCTTCCCCGCTGGTCCCAGCCGCAGCTACAGCACCGAGGAGCAGCCCCAGCAACGGCAGAAAACCAGAATGATCATTCTGGGCTTCTCCAACCCCATCAACTGGGTCCGGACTCGAATTTACGCCTTCCTTATCTGGGCCTATTTCGACAAGGAGTTCAGTATCGCTGAGTTCTCTGAGGGGGCGAAGCAGGTTGGTTGGCTTCTCTAACCTGTTCGCCTCGTGCGTTTCAGCGCTTACATGCTCAGGTGTTAAGTTTTGAAGTTCATCATTACGATCCAAGTTACTCAACGATGGTAGTGACGCAGACAGTGAGTCTGTCAGCCACTTCTTGACATTAATAAGCATAGAGCTGTGTTTGCATGGTCGTCAAGAGGGAGGGATTCAAGTAAGAAACCAGGGTGAAGGTGGCCTCCCAGTATTTTTCACTTCAGGCTTTGAATCAGAAGTAAGTTCAAAGCCTGTTTGTTCCTGCCACTTGAAAGCTATGTAGCCTTTTCCTGGTTGACTTTTTTCCCCCCAGAATTAGAAAATCAGAGACAGAGCCTAGCACACAGAGTAGGCACTTCATAAGTATTTGTGAAACTGAGTGGATAAGGTATGTGAGGAATAAGATAACACTGCCCGAGTGCTATAATATCATTTTAGGTATGAGCTCTCTGACAGAGCTGCATTGCCCTCCTCCTCCTCTACCTGCAGGTTCCTTCAAGGATCATGAGGCTGGAGATGGGACTGAGCAATTGTACCCTTTCAAAGAGTTTGCTGAGGCTGCTGGTCTGCTAAGTACCCAGACCCAGCAAACTGGGATGCTCGGGTGTTTGTGATTCCTAGCTCTGACTTTGCCAGTCATGACCTTGCTGAAGGACAAATGATACCACCTTAGAGTGGTCGCTTTGAATCCGGAGATTATTTACAGACTTCGTGTGTCCATGTATCTTTCTAAGATGGAAGGCTATTTTAATTTCCCCTTCAGTTTTCCTTGTCAATCCCTAGTATTTCAGAACTATTGACTGAAACAAAGGTATAAGTCATAGTTTATTTCCCCAGCTCATATCACCAAAGACCATCAGCGTAATAATTTAATAACATTGACTATAATTAACTATATGCTGATATTTATAATTTTACTCCTGGCTTATTTCAGATTTTTTCCCCCAAATTGTAGCCATTTATATCAACTCATGTGATATATTAGTTATAAATTAGTGTTTTCAACTTCATGTAATCAAGTGTCAGTATTAACTCCTGTTTCCTTGAGTCAACTCTTGGCCAGTACATGTGTTTTCACAAAAATATGGGCTGGAGAGATGGCTTGGCAGTTAAGAGCACTGACTGCTCTTCCAGAGGTTCTGAGTTCAATTCCTAGCACCCACATAGTGGTTCACAACCATCTGTAATGAGATCTGTTGCCCTCTTCTGGCCTGCAGGCAGAACACTGTATACATATTAAATAAATAAATCTTTTTTTGAAAGGAGCAAGCTTGAGTAATCATGCCTACCTCGGTGTCATGATGAAGGGTAAATTTACTGCTTGTAGTTCTCTGTGTCATTTGTGCTTGTAGAGATAAATTGGTGTGATCCTACACTCTGCAGTGCCCATGTGTGAGTCTACCTTGTCATCTGTACATGACTACACTACTTTATGTGTCAGGAATGGAAATCATCGTATCACATGCAATTGAAAGGGCCTCTTATCTAATCCTCTTTTAGACGTGATGAAGTCAAGTTTTAAAAGGTTAAATTTAGTGTTCTAGTAACCATAAAAAGTAGCCTTGGTGCTGGAGAGAGAGCTCAGTGGTTAAAGAACACAGGCTACTCTTCCAGAGGTCCTAGGTTCCATCCCCAGTACCCATATGGCAGCACATATGTCTGTGATTCTAGTTCCAGGGAATCTCACCCTGTCTTCTGGCCTCAGGAGGTACACTGTGCTCATGTAGTACACAGACATACATTCTGGCAAAACACTTATAAAATAAGAAATAAATTTCTAATAATAAAAGCAGCCTTGGTGCTCCAGAGTCACCAGCAGTTGAAATGGGTACAGATAATTTAGGCAAATATTTATCATGAGATAAGGACGTACATGTTCTAATGCACCCACTGCCATTGGTATGTATAACTATCTTCTTAACTACCCTTGAGCCATGTACTGTTTCTTAGAGCTTTCTTGTACAGCTGTTCAGCATTTTCTGTGAAAAAAGAAGGCTGTTTCCAGAAGTGTCTTGAGGTAGACATTCCTATGTCACTGCGATCTTAGCAGGGTGGCCTCATGATGATTACTTTTTAGGGCAACTTTCTCAGGTATGATCTCAACCACACAAACTAGAGATGCAGTTTCTGCATAGTGATTATAGTTCCTTCTGTCCAGATTGTCCCTCCTATTGCATGTGAGAGCTCACCACACGTTATAGGATCTGTGACCCTGAGCACCTCTGTAAGTGTTCAGGGAGACCTTGAATCCATTTGTAGATGCGCATTCTCTCAAAAGTCCTCTGCCTTGTATTGTAGTCGTGTGCCAGGTATCAGAGCAGAGGCCACAGATCGAATAGCTTAAACACAAGTACTTCAGTGTCTAGGTATCCGAAGCTTTGCTTTCTCCCGAGGCCTCTGCATTTGTTTATGTCCGGCATCTCTACTGTCATAAAGGTACCAGTGGTACTGGATTAGAACCTACACTAACCACCTCATTTTTCATTTAATTACTTCTTTAAAGGGGTGTCTCCAAATGGAATCACATTCCAAAGCAGTTTTGGGCTTTAACATAAGCATGACAGAGAGGACAGTTGAACCAGTGATTTGTAGTGTTCTCTGTCTGACATGCCTGTGTATCTTCTTTCTCTGGCCAGTTCTTTGGATCTCAGCTACTTCCTTTAGGGAACCCTCTGTGGTCCTATCGGATTAGAGTAGATGGCTCTTTGTGCACTTCTTCTACCCCACTGTTCTTACCATCCAGTGCTTATTGAACTTGTCTTCTCTCAACAGACTGAGAGCTCCTGAAATACACACAGGATTAAAATGTACTAACTTTTTTCCTCATTGCTGGGAATGTGGAGAATTGTGCTTTCTCTTCCCTCTCCTTAAAATAATACATCATACTTCAGGTGGAGATCACTGTTGATGATAAACTCTTCCTCTTTTCTCCCACTTTCCTAAACCTACCTTATATCTCTTAGGGAGGTGCTGTCTATAATCCAGCTCTCTAAACTTCCAGTACAGTCTAGACTCTAGATTGTCCTACATTCTTTCTTTCTTTTTTTTATTAAAATTTTTTTTATTCATTTTACATACCAACCACAGATCCCCCTCTCATCCCTCCTCCCAAGTGTCCTCCTTTCTAATTGTTGTCTAGAAATGATTAAGAGGTAGATCATAGTTATTTACATCATCATTTCAAAATAAAATATACAGTAATTTTTTATTGCAGTATCTAGTCTATATATGCCGCACACTGTCATTCCCCAGGACCTAAAAATGGATTCATAATTAGTAGTTGGCTCGTTTGCAGCTGTATATGTGGTCATGCTATCTGAAAAAAGTCAACCAACTTAAAAGCAGTCGTGGTCAACGTTATTATAATAGTTTTTAATATCACATTTGCCATAAAGCAGGTCACTGTTAAATTAACTGTTGACATATGTATGTTGTATGGTATAATTGTCATCTTTACCCTTCTGTTTTTTTCAAGGCTTTTGCTCATGTATCTAAGTTGCTGTCACAGTGTAAATTTGATCTACTGGAAGAACTTGTAGCCAAAGAGGTAAAGTGTTCTTTTCATTTCAAAAGTGTATGATTCTTGGAATAGAATGATACAAACATAGTCTCACTTATGTGCTGTCAGGAATTACCTAGTTGAATAACTTTTATTTTTTAGGATGAGTAGATAAGGTAAAATATTTTAAAAATAGGTCTTAGAAAATCCCATGATAAACATCACTTTTTAAAATACTTTAAAGGGGAGGGAACAGGAGGAGAGGAGGGAGGGGAAACTGGTTGGTATGCAAAATAAATGAAAAAATTAATAATTGAAAAAATAAAAAATAAAATAATTTAAAAACTTGAATGGGTAAATTGCTGATTTTCTTTTTCCTACTCAGGTGCTACAGGTATTAAAAGAAAAGGTCGCTTCACTGTCTGATAACCATAAAAGTGCCCTTGCTGCGAACATCGATGACATTGTCTATACATCAACAGGGGACATCTCCATTTACTATGATGAGAAAGGTAATGCTGGCCGAGGCAACTGTACATGACCATTAATTGTTCAAATAAACCAAAGCAGTGAGTACCGCAGGATAAAGGAGTTATGTCTGTGTGAGCCGACGTTTGTAGCCCTTCAAAGCCTGTATTTTTTCTAGTTTGCAAAACCAGCCCAATATACATAATAAATAAAAAATATGAATTTAAAAAGAAAGAAAAATATACCATATTTGCTGTTTAAATACCTAACTCTGCAAGAGTTGG